AGGATGTACAGTTACCCAGCACGTGTTCCTCCTCCTCCTCCTATTGCTCGGGCTGTGGTGCCCTCAAAACGCCAGCGTGTATCAGGGAACACCTCACGAAGGGGGAAAAGTGGCTTCAATTCTAAGAGTGGACAGCGAGGTTCGTCTTCCAAGTCTGGAAAATGTAAGTATTATTTCAGCTTTGGATGGTTTTCATTTTTCTTGTGTTTTGAATTCGGGAAATCAGTGTAGTTGTATTGTTTTTGTGCTATTTGGCTTTGTATAGTCAGTATTGGAAGAGGCCAACTTAGTGATTTAAGGGGTCATCTCTAGGCTGTCTTCTATCCCTAACAGGTTGGTAATTTGCAGGAAGTCATTAGACCTTATCAATATGAGGTAACCTTATCAATATGAGGTAACTTTTTAAATTTATGAAAGGGTTTGTGTAGTTCAGAAACTAAATACAGATAATACTTTTGAGGATTTTTATTTTTGTATATTGAACTCCTTACAAAGTATAAATGTATAAACCAATAAAATATTACAGAAGGCCATGCACAGTGGCATGCGGGTCCATACTCCTAACAGCTTTGGGAGGTGGAAGCAGGAAGGTTGCTTGAGGCCAGAGTTCTAGGATACTTTATGCGATTACCATGCTTGTGAATTACCACTGCAGTCCAGCCTGTACAACATAGTGTAACTTCACGTCTTAAATTTTTTTTTTAAGTTACTAAAAAAATCTTTAATCCTTTTGTAGTTCATATGCCTGATGATTGGGGTTTCATGTCCATGTTTGAGATGTGCCTCCCACAAATCTTGTAATGGCACATTGCCCGTCTGATATGAAAAATAATTACATACTTCTTATCAATGATCACCTTTCGGCTCCTGGTACAGTATAGGGGAAATAGACTGATAGCTTCTGCTACATTTGATTCTAATGTAGCATTTTGTTTATATTAAAGTGAAAGGAGATGACCTTCAGGCCATTAAGAAGGAATTGACTCAGATAAAACAAAAAGTGGATTCTTTACTGGAAAACCTGGAAAAAATTGAAAAGGAGCAGAGCAAGCAAGCAGCAGGTAATCTTACTACTTGTTGGGTTAACTTTGGTTAGTTTACCTAAGACAGTTGAAAGTACATGTTGGAATAGTGGGATATTAAAATTTAATACAAAGAAAACTTGGAGTTTGAACTGGGAATGGCATTTGTGTGGGAGGATTTAGACTTGTGATGCAGTTCTTGGATTATTAGTTGGGATTATCTACATCCTGTGGACATGACTTGCCTCTAGACAGACTTGTCCTTCTCATCCACAGTAGAGCTGAAGAATGAGAAGTCAGAAGAGGAGCAGAGCAGCAGCTCCCTGAAGAAAGATGAGACTAATGTGAAGATGGAATCTGAGGGGGGTGCAGATGACTCTGCTGAAGAGGGGGACTTATTAGATGATGATGATAATGAAGAACGGGGGGAAGACCAGGTGAAATCTATGGGAAAGGAAAGTATAAAGTGGCAATGGGGGAGGTTGAGGGACACATGAACTGCCTAAGACTTATGTCTTATTCGTGTTTTTTCAACAGCTGGAGCTGATCAAGGATGATGAAAAAGAGCCTGAGGAAGGAGAGGATGACAGAGACAGCGCCAATGGCGAGGATGACTCTTAAGCACATAGTGGGGTTTAGAAATCTTATCCCATTATTTCTTTATCTAGG